ACTAACTCTGAGACAGACTAACTCTGAGACGACTAACTCTGAGACAACTAACTCTGAGACAGACAACTCTGAGATGCTGAGACAACTAACTCTGAGGACAGGACAACTGAGACAGACCTCAACTCTGAGACAGGACCTAACTCTGAGACGCTAACTCTGAGACGACTAACTCGAGACAACTAACTCTGAGACGACTAAACTCTGAGACCAGACTAACTCTGAGACGACTAACTCTGAGACGACTAACTCTGAGACGACTAACTCTGAGACAGGACTAACTCTGAGACAGACTAACTCTTGAGACAGACTAACTCTGAGACGACTAACTCTGAGACGACTACTCTGAGACAACTAACTCTGAGACAACTAACTCTGAGACAACTAACATCGAGACAACTAACTACTGAGACAACTAACTCTGAGACAGACTAACTCTGAGACAGACTAACTCTGAGACGACTAACTCTGAGACGACTAATTCTGAGACGACTAACTCTGAGACGACTAACTCTGAGACAGACTAACTCTGAGACAGACTAACTCTGAGACAACTAACTCTGAGACAGACTAACTCTGAGACAACCAACTCTGAGACAGACTAACTCTGAGACAACTAACTCTGAGACAGACTAACTCTGAGACGACTAACTCTGAGACGACTAACTCTGAGACAACTAACTCTGAGACAACTAACTCTGAGACAGACTAACTCTGAGACAGACTAACTCTGAGACGACTAACTCTGAGACGACTAACTCTGAGACGACTAACTCTGAGACAGACTAACTCTGAGACAGACTAACTCTGAGACGACTAACTGAGACGACTAACTCTGAGACAACTAACTCTGAGACAACTAACTCTGAGACAACTAACTCTGAGACAACTAACTCTGAGACAACTAACTCTGAGACAGACTAACTCTGAGACAGACTAACTCTGAGACGAATAACTCTGAGACAACTAACTCTGAGACGACAAACTCTGAGACGAATAACTCTGAGACGACTAACTCTGAGACGACTAACTCTGAGACGACTAACTCTGAGACGACTAACTCTGAGACGACTAACTCTGAGACGACTAACTCTGAGACAGACTAACTCTGAGACAACTAACTCTGAGACAGACTAACTCTGAGACGACTAACTCTGAGACGACTAACTCTGAGACGACTAACTCTGAGACGACTAACTCTGAGACAGACTAACTCTGAGACGACTAACTCTGAGACAGACTAACTCTGAGACGACTAACTCTGAGACGACTAACTCTGAGACGACTAATTCTGAGACGACTAACTCTGAGACGACTAACTCTGAGATGCTGAGACAACTAACTCTGAGACAGACTAACTGAGACAGACTAACTCTGAGACGACTAACTCTGAGACAAACTAATTCTGAGACGACTAACTCTGAGACGACTAACTCTGAGACGACTAACTTTGAGACAGACTAACTCTGAAACGACTAACTCTGAGACAGACTAACTCTGAGACGACTAACTCTGAGACAGACTAACTCTGAGACGCTGAGACGACTAACTCTGAGACAGACTAACTCTGAGACAGACTAACTCTGAGACGACTAACTCTGAGACGACTAACTCTGAGACGACTAACTCTGAGACGAGACAGACTAACTCTGAGACAGACTAACTCTGAGACAGACTAACTCTGAGACGACTAACTCTGAGACGACTAACTGAGACGACTAACTCTGAGACAGACTAACTCTAAGACGACTAACTCTGAGACAAACTAACTCTGAGACAGACTAACTCTGAGACAGACTAACTCTGAGACGACTAACTCTGAGACGAATAACTGAGACAACTAACTCTGAGACGACTAACTCTGAGACGACTAACTCTGAGACAGACTAACTCTGAGACAACTAACTCTGAGACAACTAACTCTGAGACAGACTAACTCTGAGACGACTAACTCTGAGATGCTGAGACGACTAACTCTAAGACGACTAACTCTGAGACAAACTAACTCTGAGACAGACTAACTCTGAGACAGACTAACTCTGAGACGACTAACTCTGAGACGACTAACTCTGAGACAGACTAACTCTGAGACAGACTAACTCTGAGACAGACTAACTCTGAGACAGACTAACTCTGAGACAACTAACTCTGAGACGACTAACTCTGAGACGACTAACTCTGAGACAGACTAACTCTGAGACGACTAACTCTGAGACAGACTAACTCTGAGACAACTAACTCTGAGACAACTAACTCTGAGACAACTAACTCTGAGACAACTAACTCTGAGACAACTAACTCTGAGACAGACTAACTCTGAGACAGACTAACTCTGAGACGACTAACTCTGAGACGACTAACTGAGACGACTAACTCTCAGACGAATAACTGAGACAACTAACTCTGAGACAGACTAACTCTGAGACGAATAACTCTGAGACGAATAACTGAGACAAACTAACTCTGAGACGACTAACTCTGAGACAACTAACTCTGAGACAACTAACTCTGAGACAACTAACTCTGAGACGACTAACTCTGAGACGACTAACTCTGAGACGACTAACTCTGAGACAGACTAACTCTGAGACGACTAACTCCGAGACACACTAACTCCGAGACGACTAACTCTGAGACGACTAACTCTGAGACGACTAACTCTGAGACAGACTAACTCTGAGACGACTAACTCTGAGACGACTAACTCTGAGACAGACTAACTCTGAGACGACTAACTCTGAGACAGACTAACTCAGACAGACTAACTCTGAGACGACTAACTCTGAGACAGACTAACTCTGAGACGACTAACTCTGAGACAGACTAACTCTGAGACGACTAACTCTGAGACGACTAACTCTGAGACAGACTAACTCTGAGACGACTAACTCTGAGACGACTAACTCTGAGACAGACTAACTCTGAGACGACTAACTCTGAGACGACTAACTCTGTGACAGACTAACTCTGAGACGACTAACTCTGAGACGCTGAGACGACTAACTCTGAGACGACTAACTCTGAGACAGACTAACTCTGAGACGACTAACTCTGAGACAGATTAACTCTGAGACGACTAACTCTGAGACGCTGAGACGACTAACTCTGAGACGACTAACTCTGAGACGACTAACTTTGAGACGACTAACTCTGAGACGACTAACTCTGAGACGACTAACTGAGACAGACTAACTCTGAGACGACTAACTCTGAGACAGATTAACTCTGAGACGACTAACTCTGAGACGACTAACTCTGAGACGACTAACTCTGAGACGACTAACTCTGAGACAGACTAACTCTGAGACAGACTAACTCTGAGACGACTAACTCTGAGACGAATAACTCTGAGACAAACTAACTCTGAGACGACTAACTCTGAGACAACTAACTCTGAGACGACTAACTCTGAGACAACTAACTCTGAGACAGACTAACTCTGAGACAACTAACTCTGAGACGACTAATTCTGAGACGACTAACTCTGAGACAGACTAACTCTGAGACGACTAACTCTGAGACGACTAACTCTGAGACAGACTAACTCTGAGACGACTAACTCTGAGACAGACTAACTCTGAGACGACTAACTCTGAGACAGACTAACTCTGAGACGACTAACTCTGAGACGACTAACTCTGAGACAGACTAACTCTGAGACAGACTAACTCTGAGACACGACTAACTCTGAGACAGACTAACTCTGAGACAGAGACAGTTGCTTTGTAATCTCCCCAAACAAGACAACGCTACTTTTCTTTTTCTTCTTTTAGTCGCCAACATCATTTTTTTTGGGAATCTTTATTTTGTCTAATGTTTTATTTTGGATCGCTATTTTTTCCTATTAAATTTTTTTTTGAGTAAACTTTGTCTTTGGTCAACTTCAAATTAGGCCAACAATTATTTTGTCGCCAACAATTTCTTTTTCATAATTTCCCTTTTTTGTCACCAAATGTTCTTTTTTTGTCTGCAACTTTTACTACTAACTAAAATAGCTAGTCTCCCAGCTGTGTGCGTCACTCTTTAGTGTCCCCTGGTCTCCCAGCTGTGTGCGTCACTCTTTAGTGTCCCCTGGTCTCCCAGCTGTGTGCGTCACTCTTTAGTGTCCCCTGGTCTCCAGCTGTGTGCGTCACTCTTTAGTGTCCCCTGGTCTCTCAGCTGTGTGCGTCACTCTTTAGTGTCCCCTGGTCTCCCAGCTGTGTGCGTCACTCTTTAGTGTCCCCTGGTCTCCAGCTGTGTGTGTCACTCTTTAGTGTCCCCTGGTCTCCAGCTGTGTGCGTCACTCTTTAGTGTCCCCTGGTCTCCAGCTGTGTGCGTCACTCTTTAGTGTCCCCTGGTCTCTAGCTGTGTGCGTCACTCTTTAGTGTCCCCTGGTCTCCAGCTGTGTGCGTCACTCTTTAGTGTCCCCTGGTCCTCTAGCTGTGTGCGTCACTCTTTAGTGTCCCCTGGTCTCCAGCTGTGTGCGTCACTCTTTAGTGTCCCCTGGTCTCTAGCTGTGTTCGTCACTCTTTAGTGTCCCCTAGTCTCCAGCTGTGTGCGTCACTCTTTAGTGTCCCCTGGTCTCCCAGCTGTGTGCGTCACTCTTTAGTGTCCCCTGGTCTCTAGCTGGGTGCGTCACTCTTTAGTGTCCCCTGGTCTCTAGCTGTGTGCGTCACTCTTTAGTGTCCCCTGCTCTCCCAGCTGTGTGCGTCACTCTTTAGTGTCCCCTGGTCTCTAGCTGTGTGCGTCACTCTTTAGTGTCCCCTGGTCTCCAGCTGTGTGCGTCACTCTTTAGTGTCCCCTGGTCTCTAGCTGTGTGCGTCATTCTTTAATGTCCCCTGGTCTCTAGCTGTGTGCATCACTCTTTAGTGTCCCCTGGTCTCCAGCTGTGTGCGTCACTCTTTAGTGTCCCCTGGTCTCCCAGCTGTGTGCGTCACTCTTTAGTGTCCCCTGGTCTCCGTGGTGTTTTGAGCCGATGATGTTTACTTAGTTCTCTGATTCTTACAGGAAGCTGGAACACACAGTTTATTTCTCACTAACTTTTATTAAAACTCTACAGGAAGTATTTACTAACAGACTTTCCTCCGACAAAAGGAGCTCTTTTGGTCCAAACTTTAGGATTTATTTCTCCGGAGAACAACGTAACGTTGAGTTTAAAACATAACAGGTGAGTGCACGTCAGACAGGTGAGTGCACGTCAGAGAGCAGCAGCTCGGAGATGAAACTGGGAGTAAAGTTTGGAGAAAAGCCGAAGTTTCTAGAAGAAAATAAAAGAATATCCGGTGTTTTTAAAACTTGTGATATTTAACATATTTTAGTTTTTCTTTTTTGCTCTGTCCTCATTACTGTTACCCACAATGCATCACTGACTCTTCCTGGTCCTCTGGGCGGCGGCACCATGAACTCAGGAAGTCCAGCGTTTAAACAAATATTCCTGGACTTAGTTTTATTGAAACTGAACAAGAAGGACCTCTAGAGTCCAGGACCACAGGAAGTCTGGAGTCCAGGACCACAGGAAGTCTGGAGTCCAAGACCACAGGAAGTCTGGAGTCCAGGACCACAGGGGGTCTGGAGTCCAGGGCCACACAAGTCCGTCAGCTGCCTTCAGGTCCGGTCCGTTTGGCAGACCTCCTATTCAAAGTTAAAGTCATAGTCAAAGTCCAAGGAGGTCAGGTCTGAGGGGAGGCCCAGCGTCTCGGGGGTGATCTCCATCGTGGGGAGGTCCTCGCCCTCACTGGGCCCCTTTTCCCCCTCCAGACCGGGGCTGGGGTCTGGACCCGGGTCTGAGGTGTCCAGCCCCTTCGAGTCCGAAGCGGCAGAATCAGAATCCCCCGAAGCCGGCTCCGGGTCGGACTTCTGCTGCCGGGTCTGGTATCTGGTCTGGGATCTGGTTTGCCGGACAGGACGGGGGGCAGCGGGGGTTTTCTTGCCTCTGGTTTTTGGGCCTGGTTTGGGAGCAGGTTCCGGGGTCGAGTCTGGTTGGGGATTTGGATGGAGCTGAGTGTGGTGGTCTGGTTGGGGTTCCAGATTAAGATGGGGGTCCTGGGTGGGTTGGGGTTCTTTTAGGATTTCAGGAGCCGGTTTGGGTGGAGACCGGGTCTGGGGTGCCGGTTCCACTTTGGCAGGATTGGATTGTGGGGAGATGTTAGGCTCAGAGGTCGGGGCGGGGGTCTGGTCCTGCACCTCACTCTGAGACTTAGGAGGGGGACTCAGTTTGGGTGGGGGTTCATCAGGAGTTTGGATGGGGAGTGACTGCAGAGACCAAACCGATGAAATCTGAATGTCTGACTGAGGCGGGGTTTGGGGAACCGGGTCTGGTGGTGCAGGTTTAGAGACCTCAGATGCAGGTTTAGGTGCAGGTTTAGAGACCTCAGGTGCCGGTTTAGAGACCTCAGGTGCCGGTTTAGAGACCTCAGGTGCCGGTTTAGAGACCTCAGGTGCGGGTTTAGAGACCTCAGGTGTGGGTTTAGAGACCTCAGGTGCAGGTTTAGAGACCTCAGGTGGAGGTTTAGAGACCTCAGGTGGAGGTTTAGAGACCTCAGGTGCGGGTTTAGAGACCTCAGGTGCGGGTTTAGAGACCTCAGGTGCGGGTTTAGAGACCTCAGGTGCGGGTTTAGAGACCTCAGGTGGAGGAGTGGTCTTGCTCAAAGGCTCAGATGGGGGTGTGGTCTTGGTCAAAGACTCAGGTGGGGGTTTGGCTGCCTGTATGGGGGCAGGGTGAGTTTTGTTGGAACTGGTCCCGTCCACTCTGGGGTCTGCTGGTGGTTTGGTGATGTTGGCGGCCCAGTTTGGTCCCCCTTGCTGTAGAGGAGGTGGAACAGGTCCTGGGCTTTGGCTGCAGCGAGGTGAGTCTTCAGCTTCTCAGACTTCTGGGCCCCGTCTCCCAGGTTCATGAAGGGGGGGGGCTTCACGAACACTGTGCGGGTCTGCTCTCCCTCCGGGACCCCCGGAGCCGCCACGTCTGACACAACCCTTATCATGGGGGGTGGAACTGGTTTAGGGAAAGGGGCAGTCTCAGAGGGTGGAGGTCTGGAAACTGACGGGGGGGGATTACAAACTGGAGGTGCAGGTTTAAAGACCGGCGGTGGAGGTTTAGCCTCAAATGGTGCAGGACCAAACACTGATGGTGGTGGTTTGGTCTCAAAGGGGGCAGGTTTTAAGACTGCTGGAGGGGGCAAAGGTCCAAATACTGATGGTGGGGGTTTGGTCTCAAAGGGGCCAGGTTTTAAGACTGCTGGAGGGGGCAAAGGTCCAAATACTGATGGTGGGGGTTTGGCCTCAAACAGTGCAGGTTTTAAGACTGCTGGAGGGAGCATAGGTCCAAACACTGAGGGTGGGGGTTTGGCCTCAAAGGGGGCAGGTTTTAAGATTGCTGGAGGGAGCATAGGTCCAAACACTGATGGTGGGGGTTTAGCCTCAAAGGGGACAGATTTTAAGACCGGTGGAGGGGGTACAGGTCCATACACTGCTGGTGGGGGTTTAGCCTCAAACGGTCTTGTCACCAGGGGCGGGGGCATAGCTGTCCCGGGCGCAGGACTTGGTAGGAGGGGTTTACTCTCCTGTGGTTTCTTCCGAGCGTTCGGGATCTTCAGCAGTCCGTCTGAGATGGTCGGCACTTCCTGTTGAACTGGTAAACCGCCCCCTTGTGGTCTCATGGAGAGGAATGTGTTCAGGGGCGCTGGTTTACCCATTAATGCGGTTTTCCTCAGGACCGCGGCCGGGGCAGGGAGGTTGGGTCTGATCCGGCCCCGGTTGGCCCCGTTAGAGAACCATGGGGGCGTCTGATGTCCCCCCAGCTTCTGCGCGATCTCTTTGGCCACCGCCACAGATTTGGAGAATGAGTCCTGGGCTGGAGCTGGAGCCGGGTCCAGGTTCGCCGCCGCCTCGTCCTCCTTGATGAACTCGGCGGCCACTTTCTCCGCCTCCTTCGCCAGGAAGTTCTCCCTCTTCTTCCAGGTGAACTTCCCAAACGTGGGGGAGGTCAAAGAGGCGGGTCCAGCTGCTGGTTTTCCGACCTCCAGACTCTGCTTGCGGAGCTTCGCCCTCATGGCGGGACTGGGTCCACAGAGGATCTTTGGCGGGTCGTAGGGCTTCGGAGGGGGTTCTTGTATGGGTTCTGGTTTGGGTTCTGGTTTGGCTGCTGGTTTCTCTGGTTGAGGCTTTTTGAAGGGTTCCTTTGGTTTCCCCTCCTCCCGGTCAGACCTGAATCTGGACTGTTTAAAGTCCTCGTCTCTCGGTCCGTACTTTGGACGGTTGTCGTTGCGATGCCGGTGTTCTTCTTCTCTGCTGTATTTGTAGCGGTCCTCCTCCCTCCTGTGCCGGTACTTGTCCTCCTTCTTGCTGCCTTTAACTTGCTCCTCTTCCTCGTCTTTCTTGCTGAAGGACGGCCTCTCCTCCTCCAGACCTTTAGGAGTTTTTAAATCCTCCTCCTTCTGGCCCGGCTTCTCCTCCACCTCCTTCTTCACCTTCTCCTCTGTCGGTACCTCCTCCTTCTTCTTCTCCTTGTCTTTCTTGTCCTTCTTGTGTTTGGACTTCTCCTCCTTGTCCTTGCCGGCCTCGTCCTCATGTTTTCGTTTCTTCCCCCCGACGTCGGAGGTCAGGCCGGCCTGGCGGTCCAGGTTCCTCCTCTGCTCGTACAGCGGGTTCTCATACATCTGTTTCTGAAGCAGAACCAGAACAGGAAGTATTAGAACACCCTGTACTTCCTGTTGCGAACACACCCTGTACTTCCTGTTGCGAACACACCCTGTACTTCCTGTTGCGAACACACCCTTTACTTCCTGTTGCGAACACACCCTGTACTTCCTGTTGCGAACACACCCTGTACTTCCTGTTGCGAACACACCCTGTACTTCCTGTTGCGAACACACCCTGTACTTCCTGTTGCGAACACAACCTGTACTTCCTGTTGCGAACACACTCTGTACTTCCTGTTGCGAACACACTCTGTACTTCCTGTTGCGAACACACCCTGTACTTCCTGTTGCGAACACACCCTGTACTTCCTGTTACGAACACACCCTGTACTTCCTGTTGCGAACACACCCTGTACTTCCTGTTGCGAACACACCCTATACTTCCTGTTGCGACACACCCTGTACTTCCTGTTGTAACACACCCTGTACTTCCTGTTGTAACACACCCTGTACTTCCTGTTGCGAACACACCCTGTACTTCCTGTTGCGAACACACCCTGTACTTCCTGTTGTGAACACACCCTGTACTTCCTGTTTTAACACACCCTGTACTTTCTGTTGCAAACACACCCTGTACTTCCTGTTTTAACACACCCTGTACTTTCTGTTGCAAACACACCCTGAACTTCCCTGTACTTCCTGTTGTAACGCACCCTGTACTTCCTGTTGCGAACACACCCTGTACTTCCTGTTGCGAACACACCCTGTACTTCCTGTTGCGAACACACCCTGTACTTCCTGTTGCGAACACAACCTGTACTTCCTGTTGCGAACACACTCTGTACTTCCTGTTGCGAACACACCCTGTACTTCCTGTTGCGAACACACCCTGTACTTCCTGTTGCGAACACACCCTGTACTTCCTGTTGCGAACACACCCTGTACTTCCTGTTGCGAACACACCCTGTACTTCCTGTTGTGACACACCCTGTACTTCCTGTTGTAACACACCCTGTACTTCCTGTTGTAACACACCCTGTACTTCCTGTTGCGAACACACCCTGTACTTCCTGTTGCGAACACACCCTGTACTTCCTGTTGCGAACACACCCTGTACTTCCTGTTGTAACACACCCTGTACTTCCTGTTTTAACACACCCTGTACTTTCTGTTGCAAACACACCCTGTACTTCCTGTTTTAACACACCCTGTACTTTCTGTTGCAAACACACCCTGAACTTCCCTGTACTTCCTGTTGTAACGCACCCTGTACTTCCTGTTGCGAACACACCCTGTACTTCCTGTTGCAAACACACCCTGTACTTCCTGTTGCGAACACACCCTGTACTTCCTGTTGCGAACACACCCTGTACTTCCTGTTGCGAACACACCCTGTACTTCCTGTTGTGACACACCCTGTACTTCCTGTTGTAACACACCCTGTACTTCCTGTTGCGAACACACCCTGTACTTCCTGTTTTAACACACCCTGTACTTCCTGTTGTGAACACACCCTGTACTTTCTGTTGTAACGCACCCTGTACTTCCTGTTGTGAACACACCCTGTACTTTCTGTTGCAAACACACCCTGTACTTCCCTCTACTTCCTGTTGTAACGCACCCTGTACTTCCTGTTGCGAACACACCCTGTACTTCCTGTTTTAACACACCCTGTACTTCCTGTTGCGAACACACCCTGTACTTCCTGTTGCGAACACACCCTGTACTTTCTGTTGCGAACACACCCTGTACTTCCTGTTGCGAACACACCCTGTACTTCCTGTTGCGAACACACCCTGTACTTCCTGTTGCGAACACACCCTGTACTTCCTGTTGCGAACACACCCTGTACTTCCTGTTGCGAACACACCCTGTACTTCCTGTTGCGAACACACCCTGTACTTCCTGTTGCGAACACACCCTGTACTTCCTGTTGCGAACACACCCTGTACTTCCTGTTGCGAACACACCCTGTACTTCCTGTTGCGAACACACCCTGTACTTCCTGTTGCGAACACACCCTGTACTTCCTGTTTTAACACACCCTGTACTTCCTGTTTTAACACACCCTGTACTTCCTGTTGCGAACACACCCTGTACTTCCTGTTGCGAACACACCCTGTACTTCCTGTTGCGAACACACGCTGTACTTCCTGTTGCGAACACACCCTGTACTTCCTGTTGTGACACACCCTGTACTTCCTGTTGTAACACACCCTGTACTTCCTGTTGTAACACACCCTGTACTTCCTGTTGCGAACACACCTTGTACTTCCTGTTGCGAACACACCCTGTACTTCCTGTTTTAAACACACCCTGTACTTCCTGTTGTAACACACCCTGTACTTCCTGTTGCGAACACACCTTGTACTTCCTGTTGCGAACACACCCTGTACTTCCTGTTTAAACACACCCTGTACTTTCTGTTGCAAACACACCCTGTACTTTCTGTACTTCCTGTTGTAACACACCCTGTACTTCCTGTTGTGAACACACCCTGTACTTCTTGTTGTAACGCACCCTGTACTTCCTGTTGCGAACACACCCTGTACTTCCTGTTTTAACACACCCTGTACTTCCTGTTTTAACACACCCTGTACTTCCTGTTTTAACACACCCTGTACTTCCTGTTGCGAACACACCCTGTACTTCCTGTTGCGAACACACCCTGTACTTCCTGTTGTGAACACACCCTGTACGTCCTGTTGCGAACACACCCTGTACTTCCTGTTGCGAACACACCCTGTACTTCCTGTTTTAACACACCCTGTACTTCCTGTTTTAACACACCCTGTACTTCCTGTTTTAACACACCCTGTACTTCCTGTTTTAACACACCCTGTACTTCCTGTTTTAACACACCCTGTACTTCCTGTTTTAACACACCCTGTACTTCCTGTTTTAACACACCCTGTACTTCCCTATACTTCCTGTTGTGAACACACCCTGTACTTTCTGTTGCAAACACACCCTGTACTTCCTGTTATAACGCACCCTGTACTTCCTGTTGTAACGCACCCTGTACTTCCTGTTGTGAACACACCCTGTACTTCCTGTTTTAACACACCCTGTACTTCCTGTAGTGAACACACCATGTACTTCCTGTTTTAACACACCCTGTACTTTCTGTTGCAAACACACCCCGTACTTCCCTGTACTTCCTGTTGTAACACACCCTGTACTTCCTGTTGTGAACACACCCTGTACTTCCTGTTTTAACACACCCTGTACTTCCTGTTGTGAACACACCCTATACTTCCTGTTTTAACACACCCTGTACTTCCCTGTACTTCCTGTTGTAACGCACCCTGTACTTCCTGTTGTGAACACACCCTGTACTTCCTGTTGTGAACACACCCTGTACTTCCTGTTGTGAACACACCCTGTACTTCCTGTTTTAACACACCCTGTACTTCCTGTTGTGAACACACCCTGTACTTTCTGTTGTGAACACACCCTGTACTTTCTGTTGTGAACACACCCTGTACTTTCTGTTTTAACATGCCCTGTACTTCCTGTTTTAACACACCCTGTACTTCCTGTTTTAACACACCCTGTACTTCCTGTTTTAACACACCCTGTACTTCCTGTTTTAACACACCCTGTACTTCCCTGCACTTCCTGTTGTAACGCACCCTGTACTTCCTGTTGTGAACACACCCTGTACTTTCTGTTTTAACACACCCTGTACTTTCTGTTTTAACACACCCTGTACTTCCTGTTTTAACACACCCTGTACTTTCTGTTTTAACACACCCTGTACTTCCTGCTGTGAACACACCCTGTACTTCCTGCTGTGAACACACCCTGTACTTCCTGTTGTGAACACACCCTGTACTTTCTGTTGCAAACACACCCTGTACTTCCTGTTGTAACACACCCTGTACTTCCTGTTGTAACGCACCCTGTACTTCCTGTTGTAACGCACCCTGTACTTCCTGTTGTAACGCACCCTGTACTTCCTGTTGTAACGCACCCTGTACTTCCTGTTGTAACGCACCCTGTACTTCCTGTTGTAACACACCCTGTACTTCCTGTTGTAACGCACCTTGTACTTCTCGTTGTGGGCGTGCTTGGTGACGTGCTCCTCGGCACAGATTGAGTCTCCATAGAAGGTTTTGCAGAGCAGACAGAAGAAGCCTCTGACGGGCAGCAGGAACTCAGAGCCTGAAACAAACACACACACACACTGTTTAACACACGGCACAGAGCAGTAACATGTCAATCATGTTTACCTGGCCACGCCCCCGCAGCAGAGCCTGTCAGAGAGGGGACATCTGGTCATGAGGTTTATATTAAATATTAAATATGTGAAAGAAGACAGAATACAGGTGCGTTACAATCACAGAACACAGAAAAACGGGACATCAGAGTGTCGGAGTCCTCTGTGGAGACGAGTCCCGGAGACAGTTTTCATTAAGAGACAAAGAGCAGCCGATCCACCTGGAGACAAGAGACGCTAACAACATTCAGCGGCTCGCCAGCGACATCATGGGAGGAGAGCAGCGAGGTTTAATGTGGTGAGGGGGGGGGGGTACCTTTAGCGGGCTTGGTGAGCTTCTCCTCTGTCAGGAGGCTCTTGCTGGTGCCGGTGGTGCCGGTGCAGGACCAGGGCCGGTCGTACGGGTCCAGAGTCTGAGGGCAGAGAGACGGGGTTACACCTGCAGGGCTGCACAGGTGAGGGTATCAAACACACAGAGTCTGCTTCATGTTCAAACATTCATATTTTTAAGGACTATATATCGGATATCTTTTATGATGGTTGACACAAAATGTGCTTATTCATTTCAGGTATTTTCCAATTCTATTTTTCTACTGATTTTATCTTTTGTTCAAATCTGTCAAAGTTTGTATACATATTTATTCTGAAACATTTGAATAATTCTAGCCTCTACAGACCATTGACATGCACATAAACCTGTAGAGCCACAGGAGAGGTGACACCATGAGGAGAAGAATAAGGACTGTTTAGCAGATTAGTAACTTCACCAGTAATACATATATAAAACAATACATGAACATGGAAGTGGACAAACCGACCTTCCGGTGCGTCTTGCTGTGAAGGTGCGTGTAAAAGTCGAACATAGATCCCGAAGTGACGTTACAGTTTTTGCACCAGTGGTTTCCAGCGTCGTAGTATTCAAACGGCTCGGGGGGGTCTTTGGGCGGGGGGGGGGGGCGCGGGCTGCTGGGAAACAAAGATGGAGGACGGTGAGATGGAGGGGGCGGGGCTCTGTAAAACACCTGAAACTCTGCAGGAAGGAAACGTCTCTTACCGTCTCTGCGCTCCGGCATCAGGCGACCAATCAGAGCCGCACAACGACCACCGTGCAACAACGACCGCTAACAGCTGACTGACCCTTCACAATAAAGCTCGGTTCCCACAGCTAGCTATGTTCACGCTAACGATCGGCGAGGAAACATTCATTATTAATAATAAAACTGGAAATCTAAAACTCACACTTTCAGATTAAGAGTAAAAGTGAATATCATTATCGTCCTAATTCACTTTCAGTTTGGGTTTTAGCTTGTCTTATTATTATTATCTTTAACCAGACTTAACTTTAGTTTTCACCGAGGTTTGCAGCGCTTAACGTCGTCGCAGAGATCGTAAATCCTTTGGAGAGAAACATTAAAATACTATTTCCTACCATCTCTATCCCAACTCAGTTATAAATCAGTAAGGCATTTAATCTATTTCACAATAAAAGCCTTTCAGTGGCTCGAAGGAGTCCTTTTCTGACAGGCTTTTATTGTGAAAAACAAACATGAATTGACCTGGAAGACATCCTGACAGCTGAGATCTTTACCTGACCCTCAGGTGAGTTTATCTCCCTTTATAAAAGGTGTTACTCAGAATATATCCTCATTCATCTGAGAGCAGCGACTTGCACCTGGAGCGTGTTCACTGTGGACGGACTGGCTGCTAACTAGCTTAGCGACAGGTATTTATATATTTAGCATGATAACCTGCTCCCTGAGGAACCAGAGCATCGTGTAACACAGATATACAAACACATTATCTTTCTATGTACGTCTCTGTGGAGCTGAATGGAAACAGAGCAACTGTTATAAAAATATAAACGTATAGAGCCCGGCTCCTAGCTTAGAGCCCGGCTCCTAGCTTAGAGCCCGGCTCCTAGCTTAGAGCCCGGCTCCTAGCTTAGAGCCCGGCTCCTAGCTTAGAGCCCGGCTCCTAGCTTAGAGCCCGGCTCCTAGCTTAGAGCCCGGCTCCTAGCTTAGAGCCCGGCTGCTAGCTTAGAGCCCGGCTGCTAGCTTAGAGCCCGGCTGCTAGCTTAGAGCCCGGCTGCTAGCTTAGAGCCCGGCTCCTGGCTTGGCGCCCGGCTGCTAGCTTAGAGCCCGGCTCCTGGCTTGGCGCCCGGCTCCTGGCTTGGCGCCGGGCTCCTAGCTTAGAGCCCGGCTCGTAGCTTGGCGCCCGGCTCCTGGCTTGGCGCCCGGCTCCTGGCTTGGCGCCGGGCTCCTGGCTTAGAGCCCGGCTCGTAGCTTAGAGCCCGGCTCCTGGCTTGGCGCCCGGCTCCTGGCTTGGCGCCGGGATCCTAGCTTGGCGCCCGGCTCCTAGCTTGGCGCCCGGCTCCTAGCTTGGCGCCGGGCTCCTAGCTTAGAGCCCGGCTCGTAGCTTGGTGCCCGGCTCCTAGCTTAGCGACCGGCTCCTAGCTTAGCGACAGGTAATGAGGAGTAAAACCTACCTGAGGAACCAGGTGATAACACAGATTACATATAAACATGTTCTCCTTCTATCCACGTCTCTGTGGAGCTGAATGCAAACAGAGCGACTGGGGATATAAGCGTGAAACTGAAAGAAAAACTGTTATAAAAAAATATATAAATATATATATATATATATATATATATATATATATATACTTACGACAGGTAATAAGGAATAAGAACCCTTTATATATTTAACAAAGTGCTTCCTATAGACGAGCCCTAGCTATGCTGCAGTACTTCCTGTTTACCTGTGCAGGTGTGTGTACCTTTAAGGAGCTGCAGGTGGCCTTGGGGCTGCCTCCCCCCTCGCGGCTCTCCCCCCCATCGCGGCCCTTCTTCTTCTCTGGTGTTGGTGTTGGTGTTTGTGGGGGGGGGGCCTCGTCCTCTGGGCGGGGGGGGCGGGGCCTGTCGCTCGGGTTCAGCCCGAGGATCAGGGCGATCTTCTCGATCTCGTTGCGTTTCTTCTCGGCCGACTCGTGTTCCCGCCGCAGGCTGGAGATCTGTGACATTACTTCCTCCTGCAGGCGACTCACTTCCTGCAGCAGAGGGTCCCGGTGCCCCCCCTTCTCCCGCCGCTTCTTCCTCAGCAGCTCGCCTGAGGAACAACAACAACATCAAAACAACAAAAATAACACAACAATAGCCGCGTTCACACCAAGTACTTTGCCGTACTTAGTTCCCAGCTCTTAGTTCCCCCATGGAACTAAGAGCCGATCGCGTTCACACCAGAATAAATTCCCCGAGGGAAGATTACGCAAATTAAGCCGTTGACGTCACTTCTTCTGCTTTGGGTTTACTGGCAGGCCGCAAACCACTTCACGGCGTATACTGCCACCCGGAGGTCCCCGGAGTTGGGGAAGGCTTCAGTAGAAGCTGCTGGGACTCCCAGCAGCTTCTACTGAAGCCTTCCGAATAAATTGCCAGAACGCCGACACCTCCTCATCTCCACCGCTCCCATGTTTTATTTTGTGTTGCCATGAGTTAGTCTCTCTGCGTTTCTGCACTGGGCTAATGCTAATGCTAATAATGCTAATGCAAGGATAATAAAATGGCAGCTCTACAAAACATTTCAGAGTTTTACGGGGCGTGGTTTGCAATTCACCCAGCCAATCAGAACTGGGGCACTTTTCCCCCAGGAGAGTACCACCTCTCTAGCAGGCACTGAACATGGGTAAAGTACTCTTTTTGGTGTGAACGCGACACAAAGGGTACTAACGGAACTAAAGGGGAAAAGTACTCCTGTGTGAACGCGCCTAATGACAACTTGTTGGACATCAGAGAGTTTTCATGTGTGTGTGTGTGTGTCTGAATGTGTGTGGGTGAGTGTGTGTGGGTGGGTGAGTGTGTGTCTGAGAGTGTGTGTGTCTGTGAGAGTGTGTGTGTCTGTGAGAGTGTGTGTGTGTGTGGGTGAGAGTGTGTGTGTCTGTGAGAGTGTGTGTCTGTGAGTGTGTGTGTCTGTGTGTGTGTGTGTGTGTGTGTCTGAGACCTTGCTGCTTCCTGAGTCTCTCCAGCTCCTTCATCAGATACTCCTTCTTCTTCATGCGCACCTCCCTCTCCTGCTTCAGCTTCTCCCTCTCCTCCAGAACCTACACACACACACACAATTATTTATCTATATCATATTCCATTTACTTGTATATAGACTCTTCTTCTCAAAACATTCTCTTGCACTCTTATGTGTTCCATGTCCTCTATATATAGTCATGCTGCTCTGTTGGAGGAGGACTTCAGTCTCTCATCTCCTATCTACTCTGAAGCTGCTGAGCTCATGGTGAGAGAGACTTGGAACACAGAGTGTCAGTGGGGATGATCAGCTGCCCCCCCCCCCCCCCCCGAACAGGACTCACCTTCTGTTTCTGGCTCTCGGTGTTCTGCTCCTCAGAAACCTTCCTCTCCTGACTGCTCACCTTCATCACACCTGAGGGAGACACAACTCCTACTACCCAACATAAGAAAAAACTCATCAGAAAAACTACAACTCCCACTGAGCCCATTGTTGGTTATATTTGATTTGATGCCTGTATAACAGGTTGTAAACAGATACATGATAAGATAAGATAAGAAGTACTTAATGATCCCAATTTGGGAAATGTTGCGTTGCAGCAGCAAAAAGAGACGACGCATTGCACATCAAAAATCTAAAGACTAGAAATGAACAATCCAAAATGTAAACATCTCAATAGAAATAAAATAGCATTACAAAAAAGTAGAAAGTATACATGTTGAATTGACAGTAATGATTCCTTTGATGATGACCCACCTTGGGCCCCCTGGTGGTCCGGGGGGGTGCTGTAGGGGTTCGGGTACGGCAGGGAGGGGGGAAACTCTTCGGGGCTGGTGTTCGGGGGTATCGCCATGTTGGGGGGGGGGTACATGGGGGGCCACTGCCCAGGCATGTAGGGCAGGTAGTTCCCGTACTGTCCGAACCCTGGGGGGGGGAAGTTGGGTGGCATAATGCCATGGACCTGTGCGGGGGGGTAGGAGGGGGCCCCGGGGTGAGGCGGGGGGGCATCTGGGGTTTTTAATGGCGGCTCTATGTTCGGTGGCGCGGTGGCAGTCGTCTTCTCGGCGCTCGTCTTCTCGGCGCTCGACTCTTTGCTGTGTTTGTGGGATTTAGCGGGAATTGATCGTTTTCTGCGTCCGTCATCGCTGCTCCAGCTTTCCCCGCTGCTGCTGGAGCTGTGGCTCCGCCTCCTGCTGTGGCCCCGCCTCCTGCGAGCCCGGCCCCCCTCCGAGCTGCCGGAGGACGACCGCTGCCTGCGGGTCGGCGTCTTCGGGGGTGGCTTGTTTCCGTGGAGGCGCTCTTTGGTCCTGGCAGCCATCTTGCTGATCTCAGTCACGCCCAGGTCCATTCCGATGGTCTTCAGCAGGTCCTGGATCTTCTCGTACTCATCAAGCGCCTGACGCTCTCCTGGCCCCGGTGGCTCCGGCCCTGTGAGGTTCTGGTCCGGGCTGACGGAGGCCCGGTACCTCTCGTCCACCTGCCCCATGGCACGGGGGGCGTGAAGGTGAGGCCCCGGTGGGAGGCCGAACGTCTGAGGGAGGGCGGGTTCTTGCGATGGGGGGTAGTCGTCGTACAGCGCGTCCTCCGTCACATCTCCGTACAGGTCCAGACCCTGGGGACGGACTGGCTCAGACGGGAGTTTGGGGTCTTCAGTGTCTCCGTACAGGAACTTCTCCTCGTCGTCTATGTCCTCCGTCCTGTCCTGGGCCACCGTCGGCCCCCCCAGCATGTGGAGGATCTCTTTAATCTCTGCATCGAGTCCAATGCGCTGAGCCATCTGCGGGTCGGACTGCAGCTCTGACAGCACCGAGGCCACCAGGTGAGGCTCCATGCCTTTAACCGCCTGAAGCAGCTGGTCAGCCACTTGGGACATGTGGGACCCTCGGGGGGAGTCCGAGGTCTGAAACATAGAAACAGAGCCGGGTGAGCCAGGGGACCAGAGACCCTGTCCTGGTGCTCTGAGAACCGATTCAAAACGTATTCAACAACAGGATGGGGACTGTCAGGAGTTGGGGATGGTCAGGAGTTGGGGACTGTCAGGAGTTGGGGATGGTCAGGAGTTGGGGATGGTCAGGATTTGGGGATGGTCAGGAGTTGGGGGATGGTCAGGAGTTGGGGGATGGTCAGGAGTTGGGGGATGGTCAGGAGTTGGGGGATGGTCAGGAGTTGGGGATGGTCAGCGTAGTGGGTTGTCCGTAGGTGTTCGGATCAGGAGGTCACAGGTTCAAACCCCACTGCAGTCAGCATGTCGTTGTGTCCCTGAGACACTTCACCCCAAATTGCTCCTGTGGGGATTGCCCACAGTATTGAGTATGTAAGTCGCTTTGGATAAAAGCGTCTAACAAGTAACATGTCATGTAATGTAATGTAATGGTCAGGAGTTGGGGATGGTCAGGAGTAAAGGGGGATGGTCAGTAGTAAAGGGGGATGGTCAGGAGTCAAGGAGGTAGGCAGTAGTGAGGGTCGAGAGTAAAGGGGGACAGTAGTAAAGGGGATCAGGCACAGATTGTGGACAGGCTGTTGGTACCCTCAGAGACGGCGAGTCCTCGGAGTCTTGGCGTCTCTTCAGGATGGATTTGGTGGGCTGGCTCAGCATGTCCTGCAGTTCTTTGAGGCGCCGCGCTGAGTCCAGCTCTCTGAACTCTTTGCCTGACTTCCCGGAGCTGGAGCTGCTGCTGGAGCTGCGGCTCCGCGGCCGGCTCTTACTGCGACCGTGGCTCTGCCCCCTGGTTCTGGACTTGGACCGGGGGCGACTCATGCTCCGGCCCCGGCTCTTGGCCCTGCTCCGGTCCGGACTGTGACTCTTGCTCCGGCTCCGGCCATGGCTTTTCCCCCGGCTCCGGTCCGGACTGCGACTCGTGCTCCGGCCCCGGCTTTTTGCCCTTCCAAGACTTTTAGCCCGACTCCGATCCGGACTCCGGCTCCGGCCCCTGCTCTTAGCCCGGCTCCGATCCGGACTGCGACTCATGCTCCGGCCCCTGCTCTTAGCCCGGCTCCGATCCGGACTGCGACTCATGCTCCGGCCACGGCTCTTGGCCCGTCCCAGACTCTTGGCGCGACTCCGGTCCGGACTCCGGCTGCCGGGTCGGCTCCGGCCCCGGCTCCTGCTCCGCTCGTACTCGGGCCGGGGAGCGTAGTCTCTGCGGGGAAACGGTTTACAGTCAGGACAGTCAAGACCTGGGTTGCGGTCGAATAGTCCGTTTAGCTTAGGAACCTTCCTAACGGAGTGAAATGTTCTCTAGATGATAGGAAAGGAGGTTTCAAACTTCCTTTATAACCTCCTTTAGCTTAGGAACCACTAGACCTCCCTCACCGAAAGGAGAGGAGAAAATGCTGCCCCACAATGCCTTGCAGCCGCAGCATTTGCCGTCACACAACATTAGGCCGTTCCCGGAAACAACCGATTATGACGGAGAAATTATATCATGAAAGTTACGGTGCTTATTAAGCATTTTAAAACGTATGTGGTAAGTTACCAAAGTGCTTTGTTTTGAACGTTCATATTTCTCTTTCTGATTATAATACTGATGAACGTTCAAAACAAAGCACTTTGGCAACTTACCACATGCGTTTTAAAAAGCTTAATAAGCAGTTTTTACTGAAATGATCAAATAAAGTCAACATCTCACAGTCTTCACTGAGCTGTGGGGTTTGTTCAACTTTTAAAAGATGTTTGAATGGTGATATACACAGTGATAGATGTTAAGGACTAACGTTTATAATAAATACATCTGTATTGATTTTAAGATCTTTTCATCAATCATACGTATTAGGATCATTTGTATTAATGTGGACCGGAGGGAGAGGGTGACGAGCATAAGTTTCACTAGATAGACGACAGGGATAGACGACAGGGATAGACGACAGGGATAGACGACAGGGATAGGGATAGACGACAGGGATAGACGACAGGATAGACGACAGGGATAGACGACAGGGATAGGCGACAGGGATAGGCGACAGGGATAGACGACAGGGATAGACGACAGGGATAGGGATAGACGACAGGGATAGACGACAGGGATAGGGATAGACGACAGGGATAGGGATAGACGACAGGGATAGACGACAGGGATAGGGATAGACGACAGGGATAGGGATAGACGACAGGGATAGGGATAGACGACAGGGATAGACGACAGGGATAGACGACAGGGATAGACGACAGGGATAGACGACAGGGATAGACGACAGGGATAGACGACAGGGATAGGCGACAGGGATAGACGACAGGGATAGGGATAGACGACAGGATAGACGACAGGGATAGACGACAGGGATAGGGATAGACGACAGGGATAGGGATAGACGACAGGGATAGACGACAGGGATAGACGACAGGGATAGGGATAGACGACAGGGATAGGGATAGACGACAGGGATAGGGATAGACGACAGGGATAGGGATAGACGACAGGGATAGGGATAGACGACAGGGGTAGACGACAGGGGTAGACGACAGGGGTAGACGACAGGGTAGACGACAGGGGTGCAACAACTAATCGACTTAATCGATTACCAAATTAGTTGCCAACTAATTCAGTCGTCGATTCGTTGGTGACGTCATCACGTGTGTTTTATAAAAGTCAACATCTCAGTCTTCACTGAGCTGTGTGGGGTTTGTTCAACTTTTAAAAGATGTTTGAATGGTGATATACACAGTGATAGATGTTAAGGACTAACGTTTATAATAAATACATCTGTATTGATTTTAAGATCTTTTCATCAATCATACGTATTGGGATCATTTGTATTAATGTGGACCGGAGGGAGAGGGTGACGAGCATAAGTTTCACTAGATAGACGACAGGGATAGACGACAGGGATAGACGACAGGGATAGACGACAGGGATAGGGATAGACGACAGGGATAGACGACAGGGATAGACGACAGGGATAGGCGACAGGGATAGGCGACAGGGATAGGCGACAGGGATAGGGATAGACGACAGGGATAGGGATAGACGACAGGATAGACGACAGGGATAGACAACAGGGATAGGGATAGACGACAGGGATAGGGATAGACGACAGGGATAGGGATAGACGACAGGGATAGGGATAGACGACAGGGATAGGGATAGACGACAGGGATAGGGATAGACGACAGGGATAGGGATAGACGACAGGGATAGGGATAGACGACAGGGTAGACGACAGGGGTGCAACAACTAATCGACTTAATCGATTACCAAATTAGTTGCCAACTAATTCAGTCGTCGATTCGTTGGTGACGTCATCACGTGTGTTTTATAAAAGTCAACATCTCACAGTCTTCACTGAGCTGTGTGGGGTTTGTTCAACTTTTAAAAGATGTTTGAATGGTGATATACACAGTGATAGATGTTAAGGACTAACGTTTATAATAAATACATCTGTATTGATTTTAAGATCTTTTCATCAATCATACGTATTGGGATCATTTGTATTAATGTGGACCGGAGGGAGAGGGTGACGAGCATAAGTTTCACTAGATAGACGACAGGGATAGACGACAGGGATAGACGACAGGGATAGGGATAGACGACAGGATAGACAACAGGGATAGACGACAGGGATAGACGACAGGGATAGACGACAGGATAGACGACAGGGATAGACGACAGGGATAGGGATAGACGACAGGGATAGACGACAGGGATATACGACAGGGATAGACGACAGGGATAGACGACAGGGATAGACGACAGGGATAGGGATAGACGACAGGGATAGGGATAGACGACAGGGATAGGGATAGACGACAGGGATAGGGATAGACGACAGGGATAGGGATAGACGACAGGGATAGGGATAGACGACAGGGATAGGGATAGACGACAGGGATAGGGATAGACGACAGGGATAGGGATAGACGACAGGGATAGGGATAGACGACAGGGTATAGGGATAGACGACAGGGTATAGGGATAGACGACAGGGTATAGGGATAGACGACAGGGATAGGGATAGACGACAGGGATAGGGATAGACGACAGGGATAGGGGTAGACGACAGGGATAGGGGTAGACGACAGGGATAGGGGTAGACGACAGGGATAGGGGTAGACGACAGGGATAGGGGTAGACGACAGGGGTAGACGACAGGGGTAGACGACAGGGGTGCAACAACTATTCGACTTAATCGATTACCAAATTAGTTGCCAACTAATTCAGTCGTCGATTCGTTGGTGACGTCATCACGTGTGTTTTACGCGCCGTTAAGCTCCAACGTTATTGGTGTTTTTATCGGTACCGGAGACATTTAAAAAATACATGTCATGTATTATTGCTACATAAGCATTATATTGCAGTCTTAGTGTTGCCAACTCGTTTTTAATTTGCAAAAAGACAAAAAAATGCGTCTATGATGTATTTTCAATCTTTCCAATCCAGAAGAGAGATCTTTCTCTCCCCCGTCTGTGTGCGAGGGGGCGGGGCAGTTTACACACACGCAGCTGCTACATGCAGCAACACACTGCGGAGATGGCTGAGAGAACGTGCTCCGAGGTGTGGTTAAATTTTACCCGTCTCGATGTGGAAAATGCTCGTTGCCAAAAGTGCAATAAGAGTTTAGCATGTAAGGGCGGTAACACGAACAATTTGTCTAAACATTTAGCAAAAGTGCACCACATTCAGACGGAGGAATGCACCGTTTTCTAGTAGCTCTGTAGCCCCATCCACGAGTAACGTTTCCACGTCAGGTGTTATGCTAGCAGCACCACACGGAGTTAACACCATGATACAAACACGGGTTAATGATTACAGGTAACAGAGTTATTTATTTGGTAAAAGTTTCAGCTATTCTGTTCACAGTTCTGTCTTCAGATTATTTAATACGATTTGTTAAAACATTGTTGTTTCTTTTAATGTGAAATATTATTTATTTAATTTAAATAAAAAGCAATGTTAATTTTGTTCAAAATGTGTTTAGTTAATTTAATAATATATGTATTTTTGAATCAAGTATTCATCTTTAATGTCTTGTTAGTTTCCACATGCCTAAAACAACCTCAAGCTACATCTAAAAGTGTGGCTAAATAAGAGCGTTTGAGAAATTGTGCAAGGCATACAGTAATAGTCCGAATAGTCGATTAATCGTTTCATTAATCGATTATCAAATTAGTCGTTTGTTGCAGCCCTAGTAGACGACAGGGTAGACGACAGGATAGACGACAGGGTAGACGACAGGGATAGAGGGATAGACGACAGGATAGACGACAGGGTAGACGACAGGGATAGAGGGATAGACGACAGGATAGACGACAGGGATAGAGGGATAGACGACAGGGTAGACGACAGGGATAGACGACAGGGATAGAGGGATAGACGACAGGGATAGACGACAGGGATAGACGACAGGATAGACGACAGGATAGACGACAGGATAGACGACAGGATAGACGACAGGGATAGACGACAGGGATAGAGGGATAGACGACAGGATAGACGACAGGGATAGACGACAGGGATAGACGACAGGATAGACGACAGGATAGACGACAGGATAGACGACAGGGATAGGGATAGACGACAGGGATAGACGACAGGATAGACGACAGGGATAGGGATAGGGATAGACGACAGGGATAGACGACAGGGATAGACGACAGGGATAGACGACAGGGATAGACGACAGGGATAGGGATAGGGATAGACGACAGGGATAGACGACAGGATAGACGACAGGGATAGACGACAGGGATAGACGACAGGATAGACGACAGGATAGACGACAGGATAGACGACAGGATAGACGACAGGATAGACGACAGGATAGACGACAGGATAGACGACAGGGATAGGGATAGACGACAGGGATAGACGACAGGATAGACGACAGGGATAGGGATAGGGATAGACGACAGGGATAGACGACAGGGATAGACGACAGGGATAGACGACAGGGATAGACGACAGGATAGACGATAGGGATAGACGACAGGGATAGACGACAGGATAGACGACAGGGATAGACGACAGGGATAGACGACAGGATAGACGATAGGGATAGACGACAGGGATAGACGACAGGATAGACGACAGGGATAGACGACAGGGATAGACGACAGGGATAGACGACAGGAGCTGATTTTTGGACTATTCGACTGCAACCCTGATCCAGTTTGTGAATACCAGGTTTCAAGTTTCAAGGCTTTATTGCCACTTGCACCTTAGCTACAGTGTAGATATGTCAATGACAAACTGAAGTCCTCCTCCAACAGAGCAACATGAATATATAGAGGACATAAAACAAATAAAACTGATAAAAATAGAGCAAGAGAATGTTTTGAGATGTGCAAGTTAATACAAATAAAATAGAACTAGGGCAAAAAGAGTCTAGATACAAGTAAATGGAATATGATATATTCCAGGTGATCTTACCTGTCATGGTGGCGTGAGGGGGCGGAGCCAGAGGGTCCGGTCAGCTCGTTGCCGACGGTGATGACGAGGTTGTGGTCGATGGGCGACAGCGACCTCTGAGGAAGAGACACGTTCATTTATTACGAAATCAGAAAATGAATCAATGAAACATTTATCTTGTCTCGTTGTTTATTCCACTTACTGATCAGAATACCTTAACGTTAGGATTATTCAGTTCATATTTAATATATACTTACGCTGAGACCACTAACCCTCATTATTATCAACAATACACTCGTGTTTTAACAAACAATACAGAATGGCTATTAAATCATAAATACAAACAGAGACACTGACCGTGCTATAAAGTAAATGTCGCCATTAAACTCACTACATGCATTATGGGTTGTGTTTGTATCTCAATACCAATTTACACTGATAAAGCAGATTAAAGGTATAACTTCAGAATAATATGATATGTTTTATAATGATTGATCATGAAAGTGTTCTCAAAGCTGCTGAAGGTGCAGCTAGTCTGAATGGCTTTGTATACTGCAGGGTAGCTGGTGGATTTACTCCAGGTGGAACTAAAGTCTGATTCAACACTTGATTAGATTTCACATCATTCATCCACATCTGTTACTAAAGGGATTAAATACATGCAGTGGAGTGTACACCATTTACCTCTGAACTGTAGAAGAGTAGAAGTACAGTACTAGAGTAAATTTACTAAGTTACTTTATAGCACTGATAATAAATAACATGTGTACACTGTTAGCTGTTGTTAGCCAATGCTAGCTGATAGCTAGCGTTAGCATGGTGGATTTCTGTCAAAGCTCCTAAAATATATGGCGCAGTAAATATATAACTTTGGCGGGTAAAACACACGTTAGTTGTATGTGTGAGGAACATGTAGTGTGTGTGAGAAACATGTTAATATAATACAATGAACTCTGGAGCCGGGCTCATGTTACACACTGAGATCGGTGCACAAATGCTAACCCTGTGTGTGTAAAGAGACTCGCCCCGTGGCGCATGAAGCCACAATAGTCAGGAAGTACCCGGATGTGGGCCCACAGAGCGTGCGCAGTGGAGTGTTTCCCCTTTCATCTCATTGTTTACTCGTGTAATGCTGGACAACAGGCTGTTGTGACTCTAATGACCGAGTTTGGGGGGGAAAAGGGACCCCTCTCTTTCCCAGAGGGGGACTGGTAAAGGTTTAGGGTTAGTTAATAAAGGGGTTCTGATTCTCAATGTAAGTCAATGGGAAAAGTTTAAGGATGTTATGGGCCCAGTGACGGAAGCGGTAGTACCGCCATGTGGCCGCTACGCACGTTACAGATATGAGCTTCAGAGAGAGCTGTTCCTGTGGAGCTGAGACCAAACAAAGCTGCAGAACCCAGATATATACAGTACCCAAGTAGAACTGATATTTCAAGGCTTTTCTTGTCATGTGTGCATAGGCAGCATAGCTACAGTGCAGATATGTGGATGAACGTCTGAGGTCTCGGGCTCCTACAACAGAACACAATACAGCAGATAACAGATAGAGATGAATGGAGCACCTCTCTCTGGGCTCCGGAGCTCCACTTCTCCCCGGGGGATCCGTACCTCCTCCTGCGGTCCTGGTGCAGCGGGGGTCCCGGGGAGTAGGAGGGTCCCGGGGGGTAGGGCGGTCCCTGGTTGTAGGCGGGCCGGTGGTCCCTGAACCCCTGGGCCGGGTAGGGCCGCTGCGGCGGCCCGCGGGCCTCAGGCGGCCGGTAGCCTCCTCTCTGAGGCCGGCCTCGGTACATGTCCTCCGGCAGAGATCCAGGTTAGTCGAGACTCTGTTACCGGAGATAGATATATATGAGAGAAGCTCTAAAGTTACCTGAGGTTATTATCTAAACTGAGGTTATTATCTAAACTGAGGTTAGTATCTACAGACTCTCTGCAGCTCTGCACACAGCAACACAACCTCCCGCTCCTTCTTCTTCTACTGCAGAAACACACAGCGGTGCTGCCCCCTGCAGGAACACCGGGGTACCACGGTACTCTCAGAGTCAGTCAGAATCAGAACCAGAGTCAGAGTCCTTACTTCTTAATTGCTACCCTTTCCCTCAACCTATCCTAAGGGAGTGCATGCACGTAGACACGTTAGTTTAGCTGCTATCAGTGGCGTTTTTATATGTACTATGTACGCACTTATTGTAAGTCGCTTTGGATAAAAGCGTCAGCTAAATGCAATGTAATGTACTAAAGTGGTGGGGCGCAAAAAACTTAGATGTTTATATATAAGCTTCTGCAGTGAGGTGCATGGCTGCTGAGGCTCTGACTCTTCAGGTTTACAAATATTATATTTGGACCTAAATCAAAATATTCTATTATTTTCAAAACCTTTTTTTAGTCTGATGCTTCAATTAATTGTAAACAGACAGTTCAACAAAAAGATACCCAAAAAATGTAATTGTATCATTTAGATATTGAATTGTTCTCTCTTAGTAAGATCCCATTTTCAATAAAATGGCGGTCTTACCTTGACTTGAAGATGAAGTCCATTTGCCTATCCTTCTGGACAAAAATCTCTATTACTTTTTTGTAAAAGTCCTCCTTATGTTCTTGTAGTTTCAAAAGTCTAATCGATAGATTTATGATCGATAGATTTATGATTCGAAAATAATAAAAGTAGGCTAGACATATGGATATTATCCGGCTGAACAAAACGTGCATTTATCAAACAGGTACGTTTCCCACAGATCTTATTTGGAGCTATTTTCTAAAGTCCTATGGAGAAATCTCATTGCTTTTTTGTGGAGGGAAGCCATGCGCAGCTTACTTCCTGGTTTTAGGATGCGTCACTGCAGCTCTCTCGTCTCCTCTTCACACACCACACTTTTCGCGGCACACGTACTTACAGCCAATCAGCTCTGAATGATGTGAGAGGACGTATGGTGGGGATGGCAGCTCTATGCCCCTATGGTCATTATTTTTTTATGGACAATACTCTGAGCATGCGCAGTGTAGTTTTTACAAGTCACCGTTCACTTAGACAGTGAGAGGGAGGGGCAGGATCGGGTTTTGTCCCACATGGCTCTAAACGGCCCAGTGCCACGAGGGGGCAAAAGGGGGCATTGCCCCCTCAGTTGTATTCTTTGCCCCCTCACTTTGAACATCATTCATCCATCAAAAAGTACAATAAATGTCACAATTTTAAATGTTGATAAAACCAAGGTAATGCTCTTTTCTAAAGCTAAAAAGACACCAGAGCCTGTTTTAGATATTGTAACTACGCAAGGAATAAAACTCAAAGTGGTTACCAGTTACAAATACCTTGGTATCTGGCTTGATGATTGTCTCACTTTTAAACTTCATGTCAGCAAGGGCTGGTTTGCTTTCACTAACTGTACGGAGGCTCAGTCACTGGTACATTTGTATATACAAAGCCATGTTAGGGAAACTTCCATCTTATATCTGCTCCCTGATCTCACGGAGAATTGTAAGTGGCTACTGCCTGAGATCGCATGCTGTGGTTTTATTAAATGTGCCAACTGCTAGGACTGTCTTAGGGAAGACAGCTTTTAGATGCGCAGCTCCTCTGTCTTGGAATAGTCTGCAAATTAAATGGAAACTGAACAATCTGGTGCCACTAAATGTTTTTAAAGCTCGGTTGGATGCGACTCAATCGGAAGCTGTTGGTACCTGTTTATGTGGATAATTATGTAAATGGTGCTGAATGATGTCCTTTTGTTGTTCTCTTTATGTTGTTATGTTTCATGTGGAACTACTTGAGCAGGTCTCCCTTGAAAAAGAGATCAATGATCTCAATGGGATTTATCTGGGTGAATAAAGGCTTGAAATGAAATGAAATGACAATTATTAAATAACTTTAAATAATTATTTCCCCCAATACACGTTACTATGTTTAGATCATATGTGGGCAGTCAAGCAACGTGTAAACAAGCCTCAACCACAAGTGAGCTTGTGGTCTTAAAGGTCCCATGTCACGGCCATTTCCACTGATCATAGTTCATTGTTGAGGTCTACTATAGATTTATACCGTGCAATTTTCCAAACTCACATTGGTTTCGCATCCAGCATCTCAGTAAAGTATGCGTATTCACCTATAGCAGGGGTCTCCAACCTTTTTTAGGATGAGGGCTACTTTCAAAAAAGAAAACAAGTCGGGAGCTACTTTTACTCCTCTCTTTTTGTTGCTTTCTGCAGTGTATGTATTTATTAGCACATGTCAACATTGTTATGCTGACCTTTAACCTCTGTGTCTGTTTGGCTCTGCGGGACCCTTTGCAGGGTTATTTTAACCTGCTTTATTTGGGGGTGACCTCACCTCCTCTAGGGGGGTCCTCACCTCCTCTAGGGGGGACCTCACCTCCTCTAGGGGGGTCCTCACCTCCTCTAGGGGAGTCCTCACCTCCTCTAAGGGGGTCCTCACCTCCTCCAGGGGGGTCCTCACCTCCTCTAGGGGGGACCTCACCTCCTCTAGGGGGGACCTCACCTCCTCTAGGGGGGACCTCACCTCCTCTAGGGGGGACCTCACCTCCTCTAAGGGGGTCCTCACCTCCTCCAGGGGGGTCCTCACCTCCTCTAGGGGGGACCTCACCTCCTCTAGGGGGGACCTCACCTCCTCTAAGGGGGTCCTCAGCTCCTCTAGGGGGGTCCTCACCTCCTCTAGGGGGGACCTCACCTCCTCTAAGGGGGTCCTCAGCTCCTCTAGGGGGGACCTCACCTCCTCTAAGGGGGTCCTCACCTCCTCCAGGGGGGTCCTCACCTCCTCTAGGGGGGACCTCACCTCCTCTAAGGGGGTCCTCACCTCCTCTAGGGGGGACCTCACCTCCTCTAGGGGGTCCGGGGGCATGCATCAATCTGGTGCACTTTGAGCACAACATGAATTTATGGACACAGCTCTCAACACTCAGATGAAAGGGAGCTGTATACTTTTCAATAATCCAAACATCTTTAGAATACGATCTCAACCAATAACAAATCATTTGAACTGGTGTATTCTTATCTTGTGTTACCTAGTTAGCATTCTTTCTTTTTATTTATGCATATTTTACTAATCACTCTCCTTTTAAAAAAAAACGGTTTTTTTGTTTTATTACTGTCGCTATAGCACCATTGGAAATGGAATTTCTTACTTTAATCTATATTAAATAGAGAAAGGTGTGCTATCTCTCTCTCATCTCTCTTCTATCCCTCGCTATCTACAGCTCGCTTCTATGTCTCGTACGATCTTTCTATTATTCTCCTCTCGAGCTAGATCATGCTATCTAGCTCTCTCTCTCTCTCTCTCTCTCTCTCTCTCTCTCTCTCTCTCTCTCTCTCTCTCTCTCTCTCTCTCTCTCTCTCTCTCTCTCTCTCTCTCTCTCTCTCTCGCTCACAGAGGCTGTGAGCTCCTCCGTGGCGATGACGGCTTGCGTTAAAAAATTATAATAAACATATTTGTAAAATGTGTGTGTGTGTCCACTGTGTATGTCCCAGTGGAGATTACGCAATGCGTGTGTGTGCGTCAAGTGCAATAAATATATGCAAGTTACAACACACAGAGTGAAGCTCCGCCCCTCATGTGCTGTATAGGCTGCATGATGGGCTGTTCAACGGGGCTGATGTGTTGTGTAGATTCTGCCAGAAGGGAAATCAGCGGGGAGGTGCCACATTGCTTTTCTTCCCGACTGCAACGCTGGTCCCGCAAATCAAGCAAGAACGTGATTGGTCGATATTCATTGTGGGGTGGGGGGAGGAGGGGTGTTAGATAGATATAGAGTTGTAGTAAGTAGATAGAGTTCGCTATGATTGAGGTTTCCTTTATGCATAGAATAGATTCCTTTAATTACATTTCCCTTTTTGTTTTGTGTATTTTATACATTTTGGATTTGCTTGGCGAGCTATTTTTAGAACATGCCCCGCGGGTGACTCACGTTGCCCCTGCGGGCGACTAAGTGCCCGCGGGCACCGTGTTGGCTACCCCTGGTCTATGGTATTCACCGGTATTCACTCTCTGTCCTAAACAGCTTGTTGGAGCCAAGTGGCAAACTCTGGGGAAGAGCCGGGACGCCAATACGGAAGTGCCACACACTGGGAGCACTGTTGCTGGTATTCTGGCCCATTCCTCCATGCAGATCTCCTCTAGCAGTGATGTTTTGGGGCTGTCGCTGGGTAACACAGACTTTCAACTCCCTCCAAAGATTTTCTATGGGGTTGAGATCTGGAGACTGGCTAGGCCACTCCAGGACCTTGAAATGCTTCTTACGAAGCCACTCATTCGTTGCCCGGGCGGTGTGTTTGGGATCATTGTCATGCTGAAAGACCCAGCCACGTTTCATCTTCAATGCCCTTGCTGATGGAAGGAGGTTGTCACTCAAAATCTCACGATACATGGCCCCATTCATTGTTTCCTTTACACGGATCAGTGGTCCTGGTCCCTTTGCAGAAACACAGCCCCAAAGCACGATGTTTCCACCCCCATGTTTCACAGTAGGTGTTCTTTGGATGCAACTCAGCATTCTTTCTCCTCCAAACACGTCTAGTTGAGTTTGTACCAGAAAGTTCTATTTTGGTTTCATCTGACCATATGACATTCTCCCAATCCTCTTCTGGATCATCTAAATGCTCTCTAGCAGACTTCAGACGGGCCTGGACATGTACTGGCTTAAGCAGGGGGACACGTCTGGCACTGCAGGATTTGAGTCCCTGTCGGCGTAGTGTGTTACTGATGGTAGCCTTTGTTACTTTGGTCCCAGCTCTCTGCAGGTCATTGACTCGGTCCCCCCGTGTGGTTCTGGGATCTTTGCTCACCGTTCTTGTGATCATTTTGACCCCACAGGGTGAGATCTTGCGTGGAGACCCAGATCGAGGGAGATTATCAGTGGTCTTGTATGTCTTCCATTTTCTAATAATTGCTCCCACAGTTGATTTCTTCACACCAAGCTGCTTACCTATTGCAGATGCAGTCTTCCCAGCCTGGTGCAGGTCTACCATTTAGTTTCTGGTGTCCTTTGACAGCTCTTTGGTCTTGGCCATA